CAGCGCCTACGTTCATACAGAGATAATCTTTGCTTACAGGAGCTGCTGGAGCGGCCGATAACAATGCACTTTTCACTGACTCGAGTCTTTGCTATGAGACGCTGATTGCGTCATCTTCCACGTATCCTCGTGGATCAAAGATGTATTGGAGACGGCGAAACGGCACAAGTTATGGTTTTGAGAAAAAGAAAGACGAGAAGATATGTTAAGTTGGTGTTTCTTATCAGTTTCGACGATTTATTGGCCAAATCGCGAACGAAGGTGAAAAATGGATAGTACGTGGAGTTTCGTCGATTTTATGACATAGCGAGGCGAGAGTTGGTGTACAGTCGATTTCACAAATAGCATTCTATATACAAGATGCTCTTCTTGTTGTTTATTTTTTAGGAAGTGTATTCTTTGAAATATTTTCCTCTTTCATCGACCACGAATTAATCGCAATTAAATATGAGAAAGTTATGCCTCGCGGTGAAATAATATTTTGAAGAATTTCAGCCTCTTTGAATCATCGATTATTTAATTATTGAATTAATCTTAATTTGCATAATATCTCTGTATAAATTACGCCTAAAGTTTCCTAATTTCTCCTTAAAATAAAATAAAATATAGAAAGTAAAATGAATACAAGATAAAAATAAAATAGTTGCCCGTTCCAATAACAACATGTAGCAAACGCGACAACACCGAGGTTTCAGAACGGTCGGCTCGCATCGCTAATCGAGCTGCGCCACGCTCGCTTTAACGTTTTCACGTACGATCTCTGACGTGTCCGGTGATTACATAAAACGGTTCTGCCCTTGTCCCCTCTGGAATGATCGATTGGTCTCGCGTTTTCTGGCCGCGGATTACCGCGACCGCACGCCTCTAAACGGATTCTTTGGCGGCCAGCGTGGAAGGTTATCTGGCCGAGTGTCTTTATGTACACGTACACTATCGTTCGTAAGCACTGTACAGTTTGCACAATTTCTAGCAACGGTATTCGAATTTCATTAAAGTGTTACAAATTAACGATGAATTAGCATTTCTTGCTTTCTTGCCAAATCACGATCGTAATTCGTATATTAATGCGACTGAAATTTAATTGAGAAATTGCGGAATCGAGACGCGAGGAGTTTATCTGCAAACGACGAAATAATTCGACCAGTTTTATCAATTACAAACATTAATTTCGTTAATGCGCAATGCTCCTCAAAATCAGTTTAATCCCGTCGAAATATCCTGTTACGTACCAATGACAATCCTAGGGAACAAAATCGTCGATCGTCGATTAATCCTGCCGAATTTTCCCACTCATTTTCGATCCAATTATATCTTTTTCTTTTCGCGTTAAAAAATATCTCAAGCTTGAACGAAATATACAAAGTTTGTTATTCGTACGCATGATTTCTCCTTTCAATGTTAAACGTCTCTTCCTCTAAACCGCTAGAAATCCTTGCTGATTGCTAAAATTAGATTGAAACGTAAAAATTCGAGAATCGCGACAGAGCTACTACACGTTTTGTTAGAAATAAGCAGATATTCAAATATTTTTGAACGATAATGTATATGGTAGCAACGTGTGTTGTACGCGCGTGTGTGATTTCGTTATCGAGCGCGATATCAGCATGATTCAGCGGGGACGAGTTCAAGTACGGATCCAGAGCGTCGACAGATCTTAACCTCGAGTAACGTCACGATCGATTTGATTGTTCGACCGCTTCGCGGAAACTTTATCTGCGGACTTCCTGGCCTTGAGCTTCGCCGCTATTTCAACTCGTGGACGCTTTGATTGCTGATTTTCGCATGGTTATCGTACAGACGTTTCGTTTCTTATTGACACCGATCGTTAAGTTTCTATAGCTCTCGCTCGTGGATTCTTCGGTTTCTCTAGGAGCTCGAGCTTCCGCTTTTTAACCTTTAACTGTTTATGTCTCGATAATATTTTGTGATACAATTTCTATCAAAATACTGACAAAATATCTATAAGGTAATATTTCTTTCGAGAACGTTATCAACTACGTATTTTTATGTATTCGTGTGCTTTTAAGGAGAAAATGGACCGATGTAAAGGAAGTAGATCATGATGTTTCCATTAATTTATTAATTTCTACTAATTTCTCGGAGTTAAGAGAAACAATTTTTATTTTTATTTTTTGGAATTTGCTTTTTAACTTATTTGTTAGATGCTTCGAACGACTCGTGATGTAAACTTATCAACCTGATGCCAGAAGCCTGGCTATCCAATACCGGCCGATATTCTCCCATTAACGAGCTTCACGTTCCAATTCCCACTCTCATAAAGATTCATCTCCGAATTACACGGCCAAATAAATCAACAACAATATATACAAACACGATTTCCTAAAAACACCACTTGCCCCAGTTAGAAAAATGATATAGCCTTGAATTTCTCGTAGAGAAACCAAACGTGGATTCTGCATAGACAATAGACATTCGATTCTGATGTATGAAAACCTTTTGCCTTAGTATCGTGCAAATACGTGTACGATCATTTCCATAGTACGCGATTTTATTGGAAATAGTGACGTAAGGTGTATCTACCACTTGGACAAATTTGCTGTTGTGACGTTTAAGCACGTTGAATTTTCAGAATGGACGACATCTTACTCGTAATTCTTTCAAAATCGATTTACACATTATTTGTAATAATTGGATTACAGATATTTATACAAATTCATATTTTTCCAAATAGTAGTTAAAAAATAAATGAAACCTAGATAGACAATTGTCTTATTTGATAAATATTATAAGAGGTACTATATCTTGGATATTTTACATATTTTTATTATATTGTGTGCATTTTTGCACATTTAAATCGTTCATAAATGAATAAAAATCCGCAGTTTACTATATTACGTATTATATACCGACGATACAACGACTAAATTGAATTTTTATTATCATCTTCTTTTCATAACGATACAGAATCTTAAAAAAAATGAAAATTCCGTAATACGAACAAACATTATTTTCATATCTTAGCGTATCAGACACAAACCGATAGCATGAACACCATGTGTCTTCATTCAGATCAAACGAGTGCAGTACCCGTTTTGTCTCTGAACGGTTAATGTAAATCAACTTTCATATGTTGTAGGTGAGACTTGCACGCCGACGCGAGTATAAAACTCGCTAAAACGTAGACTAAAACTGTCGCAAGGACGTCGAACGGTTCGTTCGGGTTTGCTACGAGGCGTTTCTCGTGCGTGGCTGGCCTTCAGTTTGACTTCTGCCTGAAAAGATCGAAGCATCGTCCGCGGTATCGCGTCTATACATAATGCTGACATAATATTCTGGCTGGCCACGGTAAAAAATAAAATTCCATGGCCTCGGTGGCCTTCGCGAGTACAAAGAATCCTGCTGGAACGGTTGGCCGTGCGGATTTAGGAACAGACGTATCAGTGGTCGTAGATAATCAGACACAGATATCGAGAAGAGATTAGTATTTTCGACAGGTAGAGTCAATGTAGAATCGTTTAGAACGATCGAGATCGTTCCAACACCTTTTGTCCTTCTTATTTATTTTATACGATTACTCAGAGCCCATAGTTTTTCTGATAATTTATCGTAATAAATTCGACGTTCAAATCTATCGTTCAATAGTGTCGTTTGCTCGCAAGTGATACGCGTGTTTGTGTTAGGGTACTTGATTCTGGGGTACTCGAGTTTAACTCGCATATTCTGTATTTTAAGGGACGAAGGTAATACGTATTTCATTTTGATTCGTATGTTACACTTGGAAGGATAAAGATTGGTAATTTTCTACTGGTATCTTTGGACTATGGATGATTGGATGCCAGCTGGATTACGCTAGATGGAGAAATCAATTAATTATAATTTGTATAAAATATTTTAAATCGTATAAATGATAAAACTTCCTCGTAGAATTTCATTTGTCTCGTTACTAAATACTTACTTTTATCGTTACTGATCAATAAACAAATTTAACTTGTAATTTGTAACTCGTACAGTTTCTCGAGTGCTATTAATCCAATTATACGCATAAGTTAAACTTAGTTAACGGTTAAAAGAGTGAAAAAAAATTAACCTTTAGACTTAGAGAAACTGTTACTGCCATGTTACGTTTTTCTTGCGACCATGCAACGATTATAAGTAACATTTTAGCTTATTACACGAAATAACAGAGATATTCGAAGCTAGCAGTTCCACAATTCCACTTTTGTCCTTCAATTTTCTTCTTTCCTCTCTGTTCCTTTCGTTTCCTCTAGTTCATTCAGATATGTATGTACCTACTGGCGAGGGAAGCACACGCGTGTAAACGATGGCGTTGTTCGAGGTTATGATCGTACGACCAGCCGGATCCGTACTTGAACTCCGGCGTTTATCGCGATAACACGGCAACGTGTGCTTATCAGAGATCTGGATATATCGTTCGGTGTGTTTAAATGGCGCAGTAAACAGAGGATCGGTGGAAACACGCCGCTCTTTGTATATATAGTACTTATCGCTACTTCTTATACAACCGAAGGTTTTTCGATCCGAAGACATACCTGGTCGCGTGAAATTGATTCGTCGAATAAAATCAATATTTCAACTTGAAACTACGTAATAATGAATCGAATAGCGCACATAATTTCTAATGGAGAAGAAAATTCAATCAATCTTTTATAATCCTCTTACTGATAAATTACTAATTAATTGAATCATAAATATATTTATTTTCGGTGGAACTAGTCTCAAACTTTGATACATTAATTCTATATAAATGCGTTATTCATAATTAATAGGAAACAAAATTTCTTCACGCGTTGAAAAATGATTCAGTTTTTGGACGGATAATTATCTTACTACTTGAGAGTATTATTAATACAGTCAATTTTGCCAACAAGTCGACGAATTTCTACGAATTTCGCAGTTTGGTCGTCTACTGACACCGTTGGTTTAGGATATTCGGTTTCGATGCATTTTATTTAACATTCCATATTCTACGCGATTTGACAAACACACAGGGAAATAAATAAAATTGTACGCTTAAACATTATACGTGGCGATTGAAATTATTGCAACGATCTATCTTGTTTCAACGATACCAGTCGAGGGTTAAGATGGTAACGCGAATTCTGAGCTTCGATGTCCATCGAACATGGCCGAAATTAATTCCAAATGTCAACAACGAAATTCCTTCGAAATTGCACGACAACACCTCGAAACGACGATAAATCAATGACGAGGTTAGACCACAGCCAGAACTCCTTCGAATTCCACGATGAAACGATATATCTGTTCGTGGAAGGGGTCGTGTTACGCCAAGGCCAACGTTTGATAGAATAGATCGCGTCTAATGTCTTTCCAGGAAGATGCGAATGGTGGACTTCGATGTCCACGCGTCGTTCTTTTGACTCACGTTTCCTCGAAGTGCAAAGAAATCGAGGCACACTACGTGGCCAACGTTTTCGAGAACAAGATAGAATATTCGCGAAGCAACTTCTTTGAAATCTTCGTCTTCCGCGTCGATATTTTATATTCTTTCAGGCACCATTGAAATTCATCGCCCTCGTCGACGATCCTTGAACCATCTTTGACGTCGATCACCTTGTCACGTGAGAGCAAGCGTTGCGTGATAGTCGATAAATTTTAAATTCACACTTCTGATTCACTTTCGCTCTTTTTCCCAGTATTTTCTTTCTTAGTTACAGGGGATCTTTCGAACTTGGCGGAATTGTTTTAAAGATTTCAACTGGATAATCGAGATGTACCAACTGGTACGAATTTCTATAGGTAGAGTTCTTCGAACCAATCTTATTTCTCTTTTAATTTCTCAACGATCGTCGATTTTCATATCGGCGGACTTTTGCAAACATCTGAAAGGAATTGAAGGGAGAAGATGGTTCAAAATGAAATATATCGCGAGAAAGATTTTTCAAGGTCCCATTTTCGAAAAGAATCTGATATTTTATCGTAAACAGAAACATAGGATTGGAAGCGTTTCAAAAGCTCGGAAAGCTCGCTATCCCTTGTTTGCTTTGTTGTAAATCATTCGCGTCGTC